AAGGACGACCGTCACGGATAGCGGCCGCGCTCAGGGACCACCCCGTGCGCACCCCCTGCGGTGTCTAGAAAACGCCACGCCTGCTGTGCCCTGGACGACCGTCACGGATAGCGGCCGCGCTCAGGGACCACCCCGTGCGCACCCCCTGTGGTGTCGAGAAAACGCCACGCCTGCTGTGCCCGGGACGACCGTCACGGATAGCGGCCGCGCTCAGGGACCACCCCGTGCGCAGCCCCTGTGGTGTCGAGAAAACGCCACGCCTGCTGCCCTGGACGACCGTCACGGATAGCGGCCGCGCTCAAGGACCACCCCGTGCGCACCCCCTGTGGTGTCGAGAAAACGCTACGCCTGCTGTGCCCTGACGACCGTCACGGATAGCGGCCGCGCTCAGGGACCACCCCGTGCGCACCCCCTGTGGTGTCGAGAAAACGCCACGCCTGCTGTGCCCTGGACGACCGTCACGGATAGCGGCCGCGCTCAGGGACCACCCCGTGCGCACCCCCTGTGGTGTCGAGAAAACGCCACGCCTGCTGTGCCCTGGACGACCGTCACGGATGCGGCCGCGTGGTGTCTCACGACGGATAGCGGCCGCGCTCAGGGACCACCCCGTGCGCACCCCCTGTGGTGTCGAGAAAACGCCACGCCTGCTGTGCCCTGGACGACCGTCACGGATAGCGGCCGCGCTCAGGGACCACCCCGTGCGCACCCCCTGTGGTGTCGAGAAAACCACGCCTGCTGTGCCCTGGACGACCGTCACGTGCGCATCGGCCGCGCTGGGATAGCGGCACCACCGTGCGCACCCCCTGTGGTGTCGAGAAAACGCCACGCCTGCTGTGCCCGGACGACCGTCACGGATAGCGGCCGCGCTCAGGGACCACCCCGTGCGCACCCCCTGTGTGTGTCGAGAAAACGCCACGCCTGCTGTGCCCTGGACGACCGTCACGGATAGCGGCCGCGCTCAGGGACCACCCCGTGCGCACCCCCTGTGGTGTCGAGAAAACGCCACGCCTGCTGTGCCCTGGACGACCGTCACGGATAGCGGCCGCGCTCAGGGACCACCCCGTGCGCACCCCCTGTGGTGTCGAGAAAACGCCACGCCTGCTGTGCCCTGGACGACCGTCACGGATAGCGGCCGCGCTCAGGGACCACCCCGTGCGCACCCCCTGTGGTGTCGAGAAAACGCCACGCCTGCTGTGCCCTGGGCGACCGTCACGGATAGCGGCCGCGCTCAAGGACTACCCCTTGCGCACTCTCTGTGGTGTCGAGAAAACGCCACGCCTGCTGTGCCGTGGACGACCGTCACGGATAGCGGCCGCGCTCAGGAACCACCCCGTGCGCACCCCCTGTGGTGTCGAGAAAACGTCACGCCTGCTGTGCCCTGGACGACAGTCACGGATAGCGGCCGCGCTCAGGGACCACCCCGTGCGCACCCCCTGTGGTGCCGAGAAAGTGCCACGCCTGCTAGGCCCTGCGACATTGGCGCGTAGAGGGGCCTCGGTGAGAGACCACCCCCTGCAACCCACCTCTGGTGTCGAGACAGTGCCACGCCTGCTAGGCCCTGCGTGCTCTGCTGTGCTGAGCTGCGCTGTGCTGTGCCGAGCTGAGCTGTGCTGTGCTGAGGTGAGCTGTGCTGTGCTGTGCTGTGCTGAGCTGTGCTGAGCTGTGCTGTGTGAGAAGGGGAGGAGGGAGGTGTGTGTGAGAGAGAGAGACAGAGAGAAAGAAAGAAAGAGACGCGGGTGCGGCGCAGAAGGGAAGAACATTAAGCGACCGAAGAACCCCACATACTTAACTTAAAGATGATGTGCTTACTTATGTTTTTAATATATGCGCAATCCTGCGTTCTGAGCCCTCGTCGCGAATGTTTCCCTATGTGTCATCCAACGCCATATTGCTTGCCACGCTCTGCGAGCCCGCAACGGATAGGGAAACCACCCCCAGCGCACCCCCTGTCGTGTCGAGGAAGTGCCACGCCTGCCACGCTTTGCGAGCCAGCAACGGATAGGGAGACCACCCCCAGCGCCCCCCCCTGTGGTGTCGAGGAAGTGCCACGCCTGCCACGCTTTGCGAGCCCGCAACGGATAGGGAGACCACCCCCAGCGCACCCCTTGTGGGGCCGAGGAAGTGCCACGCCTGCCACGCTTTGCGGGCCCGCAACGGATAAAGATACCACCCCCAGCGCCCCCCCGTGTGGTGTCGATGAAGTGCAACGCCTGCCACGCTTTGCGAGCCCGTCAAGGATAGGAAGACCAACCCCAGCGCATCCCCTGTGGTGCCGGGGAAGTGCCACGCCTGCCACGCTTTGCGAGCTCGCAGCGGATAAGGAGACCATCCCCAGCGCACCCCCTGTGGTGTCGAGGAGGTACCACGCCTGCCACGCTTTGCGAGCCCGAAACGGATAGGGAGACCACCGCCAGCGCAATCCTTGTGGTGCCGAGGAAGTGCCACGCCTGCCACGCTTTGCGAGCCCGTCACGGCGAGGGTGACCACCCCCAGCGCACCCCTTGTGGGGCCGAGGAAGTGCCACGCCTGCCACGCTGTGCGAGCCCGCAACGGATAGGGAGACCACCCCCAACGCGCCCCCTGTGGTGTCGAGGAAGTGCCACGCCTGCCACGCTTTGCGAGCCCGCAGCGGATAGGGAGACCACCCCCAGCGCACCCCCTGTGGTGTCGAGGAAGTGCCACGCCTGCCACGCTTTGCGAGCCCGAAACGGATAGCGTCCCCACCCACAGCTCCCCCCCTGTGGTGTCGAGGAAGTGCCACGCCTGCCACGCTTGCCCCACCCACAGCTCCCCCCCTGTGGTGTCCCGCCTGCCATAGCCCACCCACAGCTCCCCCCGAGGAAGTGCCACGCCTGCCCCGAAACGGATAGCGTCCCCACCCACAGCTCCCCCCTGTGGTGTCGAGGAAGTGCCACGCCTGCCACGCTTTGCGAGCCCGAAACGGATAGCGTCCCCACCCACAGCTCCCCCCCTGTGGTGTCGAGGAAGTGCCACGCCTGCCACGCTTTGCGAGCCCGAAACGGATAGCGTCCCCACCCACAGCTCCCCCCTGTGGTGTCGAGGAAGTGCCACGCCTGCCACGCTTTGCGAGCCCGAAACGGATAGCGTCCCCACCCACAGCTCCCCCCCTGTGGTGTCGAGGAAGTGCCACGCCTGCCACGCTTTGCGAGCCCGAAACGGATAGCGTCCCCACCCACAGCTCCCCCCCTGTGGTGTCGAGGAAATGCCATGCGTGCCACGCCTGTGCCACGCCTGTGCTGTGCTGTGCTGTGTTGTGTGCTGTGCTGTGCTGTGCTGTGCTGCGGTGAGCTGTGCTGTGCTGTGCTGTGCTGTGCTGTGCTGAGCTGTGCTGCGCTGTGCTGTGCTGAGCTGAGCTGTGCTCTGCTGTGCTGTGTGCTGTGCTGTACTGTGCTGTGCTGTGCTGTGCTGTGCTGCGGTGAGTTGTGCTGTGCTGCGCTGTGCTGTGTATTGCTGAGCTGAGCTGAACTGAGCTGTGCTAAGCTGTGCTAAGCTGTGCCGTGCTGAGCTGAGCTGAGCTGAGCTGTGCTGAGCAGTGCTGTGAGGAGGAGGGGAGGTGTGAGGTGAGACGCGGGTGCGACGCGGCAGGGAAGAAAACCATAACCCCACTAAGCATGTGGGGAACCAGAACCCCACTAAGCATGTGGGGAAAAAACATAACAGCGGGAGACGAGAAACGGGAAGAGACGAGGAGGAGCAGGAGCAGCAGAGAAGAGAGGGACGACGAGGAGGAGCCGGAGGCAGAGGAGGGAAAAGAGGAGGAGGAGCCACGAGACGAGGGGAGCGAGGAGCCACAAGACATCCGACGATACGATGACTCGGATGCGCGGCCTCAGCCCCGACCACTGCCTGGGTCCATGCGTCGAGCGGGGCTTGTCGCGTCTACCGCGGCATGATTTCTGCGCGCTACAGCTCGTTCAGCTCCTCCTCCTTCTCCTTCTCCTCCGGCACCTGGTCTTCCTCCTTCTCCTCCTCCTCCTCCTTATCCTCCTGTGATGCTTCGCTGGCTGGCCCTGTCCTTCCCAGGGAGCGCTCTTCGTCCCAGGCACACGTTTGACGGCCCCGTGGGGCCCGACAGCGGGCCCCAGGGGGCAGAGATCCGTGGACCACCGCAGGACCCGAAGAGCTCACATCGCCAGAGGTCTGGGAGGGCCACCCCTCCTCCTCCTCCTCCTCCTCCTCCTCCTCCCCCTCCTCCTCCTCCCCCTCCTCCTCCTCCTCCTCCTCCTCCTCCTCCTCTTCCTCCTCCTCCTCCTCCTCCTCTTCCTCCTGGAGGCCGAGAAGCGGGAGGGCCAGAGGGAGGAGCACCAGCAGAGGATGGGGGCCTCGGGAGCAGCGTCGGGGCGCCCAGACATCCGACGTCGCGTTTTGTTCGCAGCGCGGCCTCCCAAAGGTCTGGGCGTCGCTCTGGAGACCAGCTTTTCATCCTGAGTGTTTTTGTGGACGGTCCTGGGTCTCGGCGAGGGTCCCCAAAGGCCGAAAACCTCCCGTCGCAATCTTTTCGGAACGCGAGGGCGTCCTGAATAAACCACAAGATGCCGATACCGCTACTCCCCCGACCTCTCCAGCGCTCTGACCCGAACTTCGAGGCGAATCCGGGCAGCGATATCGGTCTGTTTTCCTCCTCTGAGTCCTGCGCCTCTGCGAGAAGCCCCCCGAAGGCCGAAAACATGTAAAAAGAGGCCCGCCGTGATTTTTGCCACGACCCCTCGGGGCCCCACTCTCCAGCCCCCGGAGGAGGTAGGCGGCCGAGCCAGCGAGAGGAGGATCAAGGAGGAGGAGAAGGAGGAGCAGGAGCAGGAGGAGGAGGAGGCGAGGAGCGAGGAGGAGCGAGGAGGGGATCGACGATCGAGGAGCAATGGGAGCGAGGAGCGAGGTGAGGAGCGAGGAGCGAGGTGAGGAGCGAGGATCGAGGAGGGGATCGACGATGGAAGATCGAGGGGGACCAGCTGGAGGGTCTCTGGCGCGGGCGCGGCTGGCGCCTGGCGCGGCTGGGCCACAGGAGCCGCCGGGTCCGCCGGATCCGCGCTCGGGCCTGGCAGCCTCGGTGGCAAGCGCAGGCGCGCCGAGCTCTGCTGCCTCGCCAGTCTGCTCAAGCACACGACAGTGCCCTTGCTTGCAAGACGTGCATGCGTCCAAATCTGCGACGACATGGGGGAGGGGAGGAGGAGGAGGGGGAGGGGGAGGAGGAGGAGGAGGAGGAGGAGGAGGAGGAGGAGGAGGAGGAGGAGGAGGAGGAGGAGGAGGAGGAGGAGGAGGAGGAGGAGGAGGGGAGGAGGGGGAAAAGGAGGGGGAGGAGGATCTCTTCAGGCTGGGCGTTTGTCCTCGGTCTCGGCCTCCGGGGCCCGTTCTCGGGCCCGGGGGCCAGCAGAGAGGGACCCGGGGCGAGGAGCTGCCCCCGCGGAACGGGTCGCGGGGACTCTGGGCCGCGGCTTGGGACCCATAGCATCGGTGGATATCGGGGTGGGTGGGCTGCGCCAGTTCGTTTGTCTCCCCCTCCTCCTCCTCCTCCTCCTCCTCTCCTCCTCCTCCTCCTCCTCCTCCTCCTCCTCCTCCTCCTGCTCCTCCGCCTCCTGCTCCTCCTCCTGCTCCTCCGCCTCCTGCTCCTCCGCCTCCTGCTCCTCCTCCTGCTCCTCCTCCCCCTCCTCCTGCTCCTCTTCGTCTTCTCCTCCCCCTCACACACTTCCTCCGCCTACCCTGTCACGTTGTCCTTTAGCTCCTTCCTGTGATCACGCATCCCGTCGCCATCGACGGACAAAACCTTCAGGGTCGGCGGCACCGGCCGTAAGGCCTTCACAAAAACATCGGTGGATATCAGGGTGGGTGGGCTGTGCCAGTGCAGCAGAGAGCTCTTTCATCGCATGCCCCTGTTTAAATAGGTTGCCCTCGGAGCGATGTGGGCGGACGAGCTGCAAAGCGAGCGGACGCTGCAAGAGCACGACATGGCCTTATGGTCATGGTGTTCCTTCGTTTCGGCCTCCGGGGGGCCGTAATCGAGCCGCGCGACCATCAAAAATGGGCCCGGGCGGAAAGCAACACCTCGAGGAACGGGTCTGGACCTTGGCGGGCGAGAGTTAAAACACAGTCAGTTCGCCTGGTGCCCGAGGACGCTGCCAGCGCTGCGGGTGCTGCTGCTGCTGCCCCTGGTGGAGGATTCGAGCCTGCCTGGGCAAGAAGGCCAAGGTTGTTCTCCTCCTCCTCCTCTTCCTCCTCCTCCTCCGCCTCCTCTAACTCCGGTGGCGAGTTGGGGTGGGTCTGCAATCGCGCCTGGGTGCAAGAAATTGAGGTGCCCTCAGGTCCCCGAGAATCTTCTACACCGACTATCCTGAATGCTCTGTGAGGGGCCAAGGCCTCCAACTCACAGCATCCCATAGCGTTTTTGTGCGTTCCTTTTCTCGAGTCCTTGGGAACGCGGCTGTGAGCACGCACTTTCCACACGTCGTAAAATGACCCCAAGAAGCCGTCTTGGGGCGTTGTGCGGGGCCTCGTGGGCCCTCTTGGATGCCCTGGGGACCAGCGTATGATTTCCATATGACAATCCCACCAGCCCTTTAGGGCGTGAGTGGTTTAGGGAGCCCCCTCTGTCCTCAACCCCCCTTCTTCCCCCTCGGGGAGGGGTTTACCCCTCCCCCTACCCCCTCCCCCTGGGCCTGGAGAGGGAGTTCCGCGGGTGGTCAGGGTGTTTTTTTTCGACGCCTGGGAGGGCCAAAAAACGACGACCCTCACGAGGATTCTGGCCCCGACGGGGGGACGCTCTTGTAGTACCCTCCTCTTCTGTGAAGCCAAAATCCGCCGACCCCTTGTGGGTCTCTAGGCGTGTGAGATAGTTCCCCCCCCCATAATCCCCCCCCCAGGGACCCCAAACCGGAGATTTGACCCCCCCCACCCGGGCCCAGCACGAGCGCGCCACGGGGCTCTTTTGGGCCCAAAAGGGGATCAAGACGGGCCCAGAAGGCTCTAAGAGGCCTCCAAGACGGCCCACGAGGGCCCCGAGACGCCAAACGAGCGCTCCCACACGCCCAAGATGGCCCCAAGACGAGCCTAGAGGCCTCCAAGACGGCCCAAGAGGTTCCCGCGAGGCCCCAAGAGGCCTCCAAGATGCGTCCCAAGAGGGTCCCTAGACGCAAAAGTTGGCCCATTCCCTTCGTAAAACGTATAATTTTCACAAATTCGCTTTCTGGGCTTTCCGACGCTCCAAGACGGCCCAAGAGGCCCCGAAGACCGCCCCAAGACGGCCCAAGAAACCTCCAAGAGGGTCCCAAGATAGCCCAAGAGGGCCCCAAGACGGCCCAACAAGCGTCCAAGACGGCCCAACAGGGCCCCGAAAAGGGCCCCAAGAGCGCTCCAGGAGCGCCCCAAGTGGCCTCCAAGAGAGCTCAATATGGTCCCAGACAGCCCAAGAGCGATCAAAGACACCGAAGATGGCCTCCTGACGGCCCAAGATGCCCCCAAGAGGCCCCAAGAGGCATCCAAGATGCGTCCCAAGAGGGCCTCTAGACGCAAAAATTAGCCCGTTCCCTTCGTAAAGCGTGCGTTTTTCACAAATTCGCCTTTCGGGCTTTCCGACGCTCCCAGACGGCCCAAGAGGCCCCCAAGACCGCCCCAAGACGGCCCAAGAAGCCTCCAAGAGGGCCCCAAGACAGCCCAACAAGGCGCTAAGACGGCTCAAGCGGCGCCGAAGACAGCCCAAGAGAGCCCCGATGACGGCCCCAAGAGCGCTCCAAGTGGCTTCCAAGAGAGCTCAACATGGTCCCACACGGTCCAAGAGCGATCGAAGACACCCGAAATGGCCTCCGGATGGCCCAGCACGCCCCTGAGAGGCCCCCAAGATGCGTCCCAAGACGGTCCCTGGACGCAGACATGTACGTATTCCCGTCGTGAAATTCTGGGCTTTCCGACGCTCCTAGACGGCCCAAGAGGCCCCGAAAACCGCCCCAAGACGGCCCAAGAGGTCCCCAAGACGGCCCCGCGACGGTCCAATATGGCCCCAAGACGGCCCAAGAGGTCCCCAAAACGGCCCAAGAAGGCTCCAAGACGGCACCAAGAGGGGCCCAAGAGGGCAACCAACAATTCAAACATCTAGCTGTCCGCCCCCACGAGCCCCAGGGGGCCCCAAGAGCGCCCCAACAGGCCGCCAACGGCCCTCAAGAAACCGCCAAGACGCCCCAAGGAGCCCACAAGAGGCCCCCAGGAGGCCCCCCAAAGACCCCCAGACGCTTCCGTATTGCGAGCCGTCACGCCAACTGCAATGCACTCCGCGCATACAACCTTACTCTTCCTCGCGACGTGCTCACTATCTTGCTCGGCGCTAATGTGCTGCTGCCGCGCGAACTGTTTCGTGCGCGCTGCGAACGTCAACAGCCTCTTCACCCGTTTCGATTCATCTGCCACATCTTTCGCTGTGATGCTTCGCTGATCACAGCTTCCACACACTACTCTTGCTCCTTTCGTCTTCCAGTGCTCCTCCACTTGGTTGCGGGTCGAAAGGCCGACCTCCCAGAAGGACACCCCGCACCCGGGTGCACAGCACGCAAAGCGCTCGCAAAACACGCCCCAGACCACCGGCATCACGCAAACATTTGGACCCCCTACGTATCTGCCACCACCCGCGCGCGACACCGCACCCTCACACAAGACGCCGCTGGCCAGAAACTCCTGGCCTCGCAACACTCACAGAAGGGGTCGGCGGATGTGGCGTAAGCCTGTAGAGTCATTGCTTTTACAAGGGTTTGGGCCCCATTTTGGCCTCCCGAGGGGGCCGCGCTCATCTTCCTTCATAGCAAAATCATTGATTTTACGATGGTTTTGGGCTCATTTTGTCCTTCTCAGGGGGCAGCGCTTCTTTGCGCTTCTGAGGAGGTCGCAAGAGGCCCCAAGATGGCCCCAAGAGGCCCCCAGGAGCCTCCCAAGAGGCCTCCAAGAGGCCCGCAAGAGGCCCCCAAGAGGCCCCAAGAGGCCCCCAAGAGGCCCCCAAGAGGCCCCCAAGAGGCTCCCAGAGGCCCCAGGAGGCCCCCAAGAGGCCCCCAAGAGGCCTCCAAGAGGCCCCCAAGAGGCCCCAAGAGGCTCCAAGAGGCCGCCAAGAGGCCCCACGAGGAGCCCGAACGACTCACACCAAGACGAGGGGCCCGAATGACTCGTACCACGAAGAACCCGAACGACTCACGCCAGAAGGAGGACCCCGAACGACTCCTACCAGGACGAGGCGCCCGACCCATGCACACCACGAGGAGCTCGAGCGACTCACACCACGACGCGCGCCTCGAACGACTCACACCACGAAGAGATCCCCAGGAGGCACCACGACGCCTCCAGGAGGTCCCACATATACCCCCAAGAGGTCCCCAAGATGCGCCAAGAGGCGCCGAAGACGCCCCAAGAGGCCTGCGAGCAGCTTCCAAAAAACATCTACTACTACCCTTTCCCCTACGAGTACTACTACTTGTACTTCTACTACTACTACTACTCATACTCGTTGCACTACATACTGGAAATACCACTACTACTACTACTGCTACTACTACTACTACTACTACTACTACTACTACTACTACCACCACGAAGAAGCCGAACGACTCACACCACAAGGAGGGGCCCGAACGACTCACACCAGGACGAGGCGCCCGAACGACTCACACCACGAGGAGCCCGAACGACTCACACCACGACGCGGGCCCCGAACGACTCACACCACGAGGAGCCCGAACGAGTCACACCAGGAGGAGGGGCCCGAACGACTCACACCAGGATGAGGGGCCCGAACAACTCACACCACGAGAAGCCCGAACGACTCACACCAGGACGAAGAGCCCGAACGACTCACACCACGAAGAGCCCGAACGACTCACACCAGGAAGAAGGGCCCGAACGACTCACACCAGGACGAGAAACCCCAAACGACTCAAATCACGAGGAGCGCTTTCTCTCCCTCCTCCTCCGCCTCGTCCTTCTCCCGCTCCCCCCACAAGGAGGATGTACAAGGAGGCGGGAGGAAGGAGGAACAGGGGAGATATGCGGAGCCAAACGGACACACGCCTGAAAAACAC